ATAATGTGAACAAGCCTTGGATGGTTGCCCATGCTGACATTAATATATCAGACATGTATCTGTAGCCCCCTACAAAACATACCAGGCTTTGTACATTTGATAATTCATACATACCAGTTTGTGTTCTAAGGATGATAATATGCACTGGGGACCAAATATTCTACAAATAACACAAAAACACTAATTCATATTGTAATTATATTGTGAGTAATCATTCAATCACTTATTCCAAGTATTCTTAATATTATTAGTTATCATTAAAGCAATTATTCCTAATATTAATTTTATTATGAGTAATCATTAAAGCACTTTTCCCTCACATTAATTATATTGTGAGTAATATATTATTATAATAAAAAAAATCTTCTCTCTTATAACACAAGTAATGAATACCAGTACGGTATTTGGAGTATTTTCCAACTGAATTTGTTTTTAATATAAAATATAACTTTGTCTTTGCTTCTTGCCATGCTAGATGATCACCATCACAAACAGTAGATCATATGGATCTGTTAGTATTTAATGGAAAAGAAAGAATATGGTGTATTCATAATATATAAGTAATACACACTTTCATGTCTTAAAACAAAAAAAATGAAAATATGAAATTCTATTTTTCCTGTACTTATCCAAGAGGCTTGGCCTTTTCCCAATACCAATGAACCTAAAAGACTTTTCAAATTGTAGTTGGAACTCATTTCTTCAAACTGATCAACTTGTAAAAAAATCAGTCCATTTCTAGAGAAATGTTGTTGTTACTATAGAGCAGGTGTATCATAAAAAAAATAGTCCTACCGTCCAATTCAAATGATTGTCTTCTGTTTCTTTTATAAAAAGTACAGGAATGTTAAGTGGAGTCCAGTGTAATTAAATACAATTCAAACACTTGTTTATCACATTGTGAGTACAAAATAATAAGATTTCTAACTAAAATAAATCAAAATCTCTTCATGTTGTCTTTATTTTCTAATAGAAATTTATTGTGCATTTGCATCTGAATATTTCTCGACAGTAGTTGCTACTAAACTTTAACATAAAAAAGGAGATAATGGTGCAGCAAAATTGATAATTAGTGGTGATGTAAAGCATGATCAAAGTTATCTCCCACTATACCATACTTCATCATTTGTCACTGAATTTCACTTATCTTACAGATATTTTTTCAGAAAACATAAAGGTTTGATAACAATTGAAACAATGTTTAGAATAATTCAATTAAGAAATGAATGCTTCTTTTTGTAATTTTATTGGGGGTGTAAAAGTGTTGACATAAGCACATTTTGTATGAATAATTTCATTCTAAAAATGTGTGCACGATCAACACTTTTACAACCCTATCAAATTACTAAAAAAGCATTTATTTCTCATAATAACATTTATATGCTAAGACCATGAAAATAAAGTTTTTCTTTTATTGACGTGTGCACTTTTTTGTGGAAGCACGTGTTATCACGAATGAACATTTCATTTTGATATGAAGGTTAATTTTTGAATGATGTGCAATTGTTGTTAGCCAATCAAAGTAACGGATTCTCTTGAACCATACATATGTAATGTAATTATTTATGAATAATCTTTATGAGAGAACATTTTTATTATACTAAATTGCATAGTTACTATGAGATTCATTTATCAAAACTTCTCAAAAAAAAATTAAGACAAACATTGGAAATTGTATGGTTAGAACATTTTCATTACACTGAAATTTTTCATCATTTGATCAGTTTTAAAGAAACAAATTCAGCTCCCAACATGAAAATTTATTTTTACCCTTTTGTATCTTGAAAGGTAAGAGTCGTTTAGATAAGCACAGTGATATGTTCTTGACCAATGGAAACAGCTTAACAATTCAGAAATCAGTTTTATTTTCAGAGATGCTCTAATGCAAAGTCAATCAATGACCTTTGATATTTTTGATGAACACTGATATCCACATAATTTTTTTGTGACAACCTCCTGTGCATTTGATCAAAACAAAATTTTTACCTGCACTTGAGACTCTGTACATGGTTAAAACCTTCTCCTATAAATTTGTCAAATAAGTAAGCACTGTTCTTTTCTTTCTTTTCAACTTTTAAGCAATCACTTTCAAACATCCACTGTGGTTTAAATCCTTCTTTTTCAAGATTCTATTTAATATAATGCACACAAAATAACAAACAAAAGGCAGAAATAAACAGCAATTTTTCTTTTGAGCTAAGACTTATGAATATGTTAATAGTTTTTCCTATTATACAATGTATTTTAAGATTTTGCCATCTCTTCAAATTATCAACTGTTAAAAAAAAACCCTGACACTAATATTAGACAAACATTAATGCAAGGAAATCTGAAGTATGATTCATGAAAAATTTAATTCAAGTAAAACTAAAGTAAACTGGTATATTCCATTATTTGAATGTCAAACAATTACAGCAACATGTCTGCAGGAAAGCCATAACATCAGAATATGACTAAGGAAACTTGTTTTCATATCTGTAATGAATGCAATTAATGTATTAAAATTTATTTTTAGGGAAATTCCCTATTGCACAAAGATAAAATCGTGAAGCTTTTTTCTAAAATGCTAAGTAAATCTACTTACGGCAAATGCATCAAACATAGCTTTAGTGGCACCATTTCTACCAGAGCTGCCATCTGCTCTGATGCAGTACATTTTAAAGTCCCCTTCAGACATTCTGTATATTATATATACAGGTATCTAAAACTGAAAAATGATTTTAATGAGTTAGGAATAAATGCAAATTCAAAATCTACCTCTTGCTATTTAATTACATGCATTATACTCCAGTTGTCTTGTGTACCTACATCTATTTACCTCAAGAAGTTGCATACAATCCATATCTATGGATAATCTTCACTCTTTTTCATTATGGAAATTCACGAAGAACATTTTTTTTTTCATGCTCGTTAAAAGGGATCACACTGGGCTTAGCTTGTGGGGCAGGTGCCATTGTAATTTCAAATAATTCTGAAATAGAACTTAAACATCCTGCATCCAAAAGAGGTTTTATTCTACTGGCAGAACTTGTAGCCATCCAATCAGTCTTGGATTTTATTGTAAGAGTGGAAAACAAGACAATGATTGTGGTATCCTTACTCTAAATTAGAAAATAGAATAAATGAGGAATGTGTCCATGGGACACAAATGATGCCCCCGCTTGCATATCATATTCAGTTATAAAGGGACATAACTGAAGAACAGTAAAAGTGACGCTACCAAAATTTGTACTTGATCTGAGTTTTGTAATAATAAGTATTGTGTATAAGTTTCATAAAATTTGGTTAAGGCAAACTTAAGTTAGAGAACGGAAACGAAAAATTCGACAATTTTTCCGTTTGTAAAGGGGCATAACTCTAGAACGGTTAAATTGACACCACCAAAATTCAATCTTGATCTGTATTTTGTGGTAATAAGCATTGTGTATAAGTTTCATTACATTTGGTTGAGGCAAACTAAAGTAAGACAACGGAAACGAAAAATTCAGCAATTTTTCCATTTGTAAAGGGTCATAACTCTAGAACGGTTAAAGTGACACCACCAAAATTCAAACTTGATCTGTATTTTGTGGTAATAAGCATTGTGTATAAGTTTCATAACATTTGGTTGAGGCAAACTTAAGTTAGAGAACGGAAAGGAAAAATTCAGCAATTTTTCAATTTGTAAAGGGGCATAACTCTAGAATGGTTAAAGTGATGCCATCAAAATTCAATCTTGATCTGTGTTTTGTGGTAATAAGCATTGTGTATAAGTTTCATAACATTTGGTTGAGGCAAACTAAAGTAAGAGAACGGAAACCAACTATGGGACGTACGTACAGACGGACAAGGGTAAAACTTAATGCCCCCTCCGCTACGGCGGGGCCTGAGGCGTTTTGAATAACATGAGCAACCATCAAGTGTCAAGAGCGACACCTACAGAATACAGATTACTGTGGAGTAATAATATAAGCATTAAGACATAGAAAATGGTACAGGTAAAAGCACAAATGTGAAATCTTCTATAGATCTATAAGCACAGATTCAGGTAAGACAAGCAAACTGGCCCTCCATACATATTTAATGAGATATACTACTCAAAGTTGATTTATCAGTGAATCGATTTATATTAAATTTGATACAATTTGTATATAACTAAGCAGAAATACATATGATCAAAGCCTTATGTGGGCGGATTTACCAGACTGCATCGTATATAAACATTTAAAACACCTTACTATCCTTATTGCTATTTGTCTGTTATAATTTACTGGACATCACAACTTTCCCGTAAAATTTTGATGTCACAAACATAAATTAACACCATATAATGCAAAAGCGATTGCTGTAAGACATCAAGGATTGGTATAGTAAGACTATACAAATCATTAATGACATCAACAGACAACAGCTCAGATCATCAGACTGTCAGATGTCCCAGATTCACAAATAGAGACAAAGTTTTTTTTATGCAACAAAAGTATAAGGAGCAACAGCACTTTACAAAATATGTCCCATCGAAAAAAATAATTTGTTAAAGACCGTAAACCTCTGTATTAATAGGTTATTTACTTGTGAAATATATGTTTTGTATTTTTTCACAGATGAGTTGCTCTGACAGCATGCATACATGTATGTTGTTTGTAAAACTGTCAAAAGTTTGGGAAAATGTAACTGTTTTCAGTGGTTTTGGGACAAAGTTAAAGAGTTATATGTGTTTCTTCAATCAAATTTCTTGAAATCTGTATCATTTTTACCAATGTTTTCATAAAATCTTTTTAGCTAGATCTGTAAACTAAAACTTTCAAAACAAATAAATGTGATTCGGAATTTCGGGGATTTCCGAAAAACCGCCTGCCGTGCAAATCCCGCCGAAAACGTGATATATAAAATATTATAATTTTCTTACAATAATTTAATTTGATACTGTTTTCGTTACCAAAATGTAATAAATTTCACACATATTGTAGTATTGGAAGTAATAAATCTTAACTTTATAAAATTTGTACACATCGCGTCCCGAGATTTAACGAGATTTTATTTTCTTTTGTCAATGCCGAAAAAGTAAAAAATAAAAAGGTAATTATAACCTAAAAATAAACACCCATGTTCAGATTATATGCATGCATTCATGAAAAAAACCAAACTAAATGTTTTAATTTATACTTAATCCACACAATTGGACCGATACTAGTAGATGAACCATCAGAATAATTTGTCGATCAATCGGGTCATCAAGAAATTTATTTCTACCGGTAGCATATATTATCGCAAGAGGATTTTAGAAACCATTATTCTGGCTTGGTAAGAACTGAACAGAATGAAAATGAATATATTGCAGCCATTTGCAGGAAAATAATAGACGTATTTACTGGTGCAGTATTCTTTACAGCCACAACACAAGCCCAAGACTCATTCTTGAAAAATTTTGTATATGTAATATTGGCCGGAAGCAAGTTAACTCGTACCATTGTAAACTCGTACCACGTAAACTCGTACCAAAAAAGTTAACTCGTACCAACGTAAACTCGTACCACTGGGAAGTCGTACCAATCAGAACTCGTACCACTGCAAACTCGTACCATTAAAAATATATTCAAAAATACGAATGTTTTATGATTTTTTTTTGGTAAACTTAATAAAAAAAGTTGAATTACCAATTGAGATTGTCATGTTTAAAAATCGATTTGTATATCCAAACTCTAGACGTGTACGTGCTTTTTTCAAACAAGTCAGCATAAGTTCAGAAAATGACACATTCTCTCCACAGTAAGTCAAAAGTCGAACCCACCCTTGTTTCTATGGTAAAACGCAATACAAATATGAAACAGACTATAGCTTAAAAACTAGTTAAACAATAATTCATTTGTCACCAAAAAATACGGTTTCACATCAAATATCAAGTAAAATTACTGTTTTTGACACTTTTTGAGCACTATGATAAAGAAATGTCGAGATTGTATAGATTGAAATAAACAATTAATTTCCCCATAGGCGACAATGATAGCCTTTTTCGAGATACAGACTTTAGAAAGTTAGAGCCCGCTCCAGTCATGCTTCAGTGATTCCCTATATAATCAACCAAATTTAGCTACAAATTGGTCATTGTAATTTCAAATTATATACAATTTACAGACTTAAGAGGTATTGAGTGAAATTAAAGTATATATTCATCATTAAACACCATTTGAATGCATTTAAATAAGTTGGTACGAGTTTACAATGGTATGAATTTACCGTGGTACGAGTTAGCAGTGGTACGAGTTTGCATTGGTACGAGTTTTTTTTTAGTGGTACGAGTTGACATTGGTACGAGTTTACAATGGTACGAGATAACTATAATTCTATTGGCCTGTACTGTAGTAGAAATTCTTACAGGTCGAAGTAAATTTTACAAGCCAAGGTATTTAGAAATGTTATGTTAACCATGGAGGGGATGAATTGATGATGACAGATGATATCTACTTTATCGCTATTTCAGTATTTGTGAATCTGCACACACTTGAACTATTGAAGTCATACAACAATCACTTCTCTTTTGTTTTGTGGCATCAGACATTGGCAATTATGACGTCAAATTTTACGGGAACCTGTGTGATGTCCAGTAATGGTGGACAAATAGCAATAAGGTGTATATATGAGCAACGGCCAGGCACCATCAGAAAACAGGTCATGGAGATCCCTGCTATTTAAATTATTATAAAGTCTGCTTGAAAAAGGAAAAAAGTAATGTGGTCAATTACAGTCTTCTTGCTTAACCATAGGCCCAGCAGCCCGGGCTTGTAAAATTGCTCTTGGGCCTGTTAAAGTCATCTCTACAGGCCAACAGAATCTAACTAAAATTTTCAAAAAATAGATCTCCAGGCCTGTAGATTTTAAAGTTTATCGTGAAGATTGCAATTACCAAATTGACCAATGACTGATGCCAATCTTGAACCATGACAATTTCTTTGTTTGGTATTGTCAAGCACCTCTATTTTGTGTTTTGATTGTCAATCATGACCAATTAATATAGTCAGGATGGCTTATCCGAAGTGATTTGTATTAGGTCTCATTTGGTAGCTCTTTATATGTCTGTTTACGGGATGTATTATGATATACTGTTGTCAGTTGTCAACATGTTGGACAATAATTCAAAAATGCTTCAACCAATTTTCATGAAATTTTGTTGAAAATGCTCATATCTATTCAATATTGACGTAAGCTCCCTTTCGATTTTCATGAAACTTTAGTGACTGGTTTATATCTATTAAAATAAGCTCCTTTTATTTTTTTCTTATAAATTTCTGATATGACATTGAGGAATTATGGAACTTTATTTGTTAAAAAAGCGATGGGCGTATCATGGACTCATGACGCAGCTCTTTATTACATTATCCATCTATATTTATATAAACATATATCTTGATTTTATACAATGCTATTTTGATAATTTTTAAACGTGTATCTGTTACAGAACTTGTATAGATAGAGATGGCATTACCTAGTATAAGAACTCACACACAAGAGCGACCAGTTACACGTAAGTCAATATAAAAAAGTCATTCATTGATCAAATTTATGGTATTTTAAATGCAATATCCACTGATGTTCATCATGTCTATATCATTTTATTAATTATTTTGCAACATACCTTTTGAAAGAGACTGACATTGCCATGATTAATAATAGTGTAACACAGAAGTTTTTTGTTTTAGTGGAAGGGGGTATTATTTATCATTGTTGAACATTTTAATAGTTTGAACTATAAAAGCTAACTAGCATAACTATGATAACTGTACATATGAGGTAAATGTTTTATGGTAAATTTTCAATCTCTTTTATTTTGTGCTGAATTTTTTGATCAATTTGTATTTTATATCAAACAATAATCTTTTTATATTGCAGCTCAAAGAGGCAGATCTTTTGGATCAGTAAGTTTGAAGTTACACACTAGAAATACTCATACAGATGAAATGATCTGTCATTAAGTTCATGTGTGAATGCTATACTGTGTGGTGCATTTTCAGATTCATTGCTTATCAACATCTGTTTATGGAATCCTTATATTCTTACACATAATTGCCATGTATGAAATTTTAAATCAAGGCTTATAATCAGTAAGCAATAGCTAACATCAACTTGTTTGTCATGAATATATGTGATAAATATTTGGGCTAAGCAAATAACAATTAATCATTCGTCATGTTAAGGCTATTCCATTAAAATGTATGTGGGAGGGTAGAAGGGAAGTTTAATTATTAAATGTGGGTCATGGGTCTTTTTCATTATGCGTCTTTTACCATTATGCAAAATTATCTAAAAAATGGTTCTTGGTTGTAGGGATATTTTGAAAGTCCCTTCCTACCCTCCCACATACATTTTAATGGAATAGCCCTTAAGAAAACAGCAGAAAATGAACTTTTATAAAATGCAAATACTTCACTACTCACATATTTACATCATTTAATATTTTGCTTATTCACTATTTGTAGAATACTGGTAGTCCATTCATAACAACTCCTCATGGCAATCCAAACTTTAACCCTACCAAAGTCAGAGGCGGAGGAGTAAGTATGCATATTTATAAGTGCTTATGTTGTAATGTCAAGGCAGATGTTTTCTTAAACATGTTAAAGCTGTAACAGATTATTAGAAATTATGCTCTGTCAAAGGATTTGTATACTGTGTTTTTTGTTTGATGTTTTTCTGCTTTGTAATGATTTTTATAGTTTGTTCTTATGTTGTGCTGTTACACCACTGTCCCAGGTTAGGGGGAGTATTGAGTGCTCACAAACATGAATAACCCCGCCACATTCTTTATGTGCCTGTCCCACGTCAGGAGCCTGTAGTTCAGTGATTGTCATTGGTTCATGTCTGTCATATTTTTATGTCCCCGCCGTAGCGGTGAGGGCATTAAGTTTTTCCCTTGTCCGTCTGTACGTACTTGTGTACGTCCCAAAATTGGTTTCCGTTCTCTAACTTGAGTTTGCCTCTTTATAAATGGAAAAATGGAAAAAATTTTAGTTTCCGTTGTCTTACTTAAGTTTGCCTCAACCAAATGTTATGAAACTTATACACAATGCTTATTACCACAAAACACAGATCAAGTTTGAATTTTTGTCGCGTCACTTTAACCGTTCTAGAGTTATGCCCCTTTATAAATGGAAAAATTGCAAAATATTTATTTTCTCCTAAATATCAAGTAATTTTTTTTTAAATTGGAGTTATCTCCCTTTGTCCATGATTATAGTTGAATCAACTACAATCAATGCTTTATACAATGCAATGTTTAATTTTGACTTCCACTGATAAAACACAGATCAAGTTGAATTTGGGTAGTGTCACTTTAACCATTATTGAGTTATGCCCCTTTATAAATTGAAAGATTGCAAAACTTTTAGTTTCCATTCTGTAACTTAAGTTTGCCCCAACCAAACATTATGAAACCTATACACAATATTCATTACCACAAAACTAAGATCAAGTACAAATTTTTTGTTTCCGTTTTCTAACTTTAGTTTTCCTCAACCAAATGTTATGAAACTTATACACAATGCTTATTACTACATAATACAGATTAAGTACGAAATTTGGTGGCGACACTTTTACCATTCTTGAGTTATGTCCCTTTATAAACATAAAAATTGCTGAATTTTTTAGTTGTCTCAACCAAATGTTATAAAACTTATACACAACTGTTCTAGAGTTATGCGTGTTTACAAATAGAAAAATTGCTGAATTTTTAGTTTCTGTTCTCTACTTAAGTTAGCCTCAACCAAATGTTATGAGACTTACACACAATGCTTATTACCACAAAACTCAGATCAAGTTCAAATTTGGGTAGCGTCACTTTTACCGTTCTTCAGTTATGTCCCTTTATAACTATATGATATGCAAGCCTACCGTTCTTCAGTTATGTCCCTTTATAACTATATGATATGCAAGCGGGGGCATCATCTGTGTCCACATGTGGACACTATCCACATTTATTTTTTTTCTTAAATTATTTTGTTATAAATTAGGCCATTAGTTTTCTTAATTGAATTGTTTCATATTTTTCATGTCGGGGCCTTTTATAGCCGACTATACAGTAAGGGTTTTCCTCATTGTTGAAGGCTGTATAGTTGTATGTAATTAGTTGCCTATAATTGCTTACATCCACTTTGGTTGATAGTTGTCTCATTGGCAATCATACCACATCTCCTTATTTTTATATTGTTTACACTTTAACTTTTTTGTTTACAAAATAAAATGACTTTATTCGGAAATGCTGATTTGAAAAAATATTTCCTGCATTCCATTTGGCTTTTTGTAATTTTTTTTAATGTTTCAGAATTAAGGGACTTTCACTTTTCACATTTTGACTCAAGCTCAGATTTCCTTGACCTATTGTCTTCAAAATTTACTGGATGTTGAAGTTTCAATTGGTGTATACTTACTTATCTCATTGCAGAATTGCAGGACTGTAATTGGTAGAAAAAAGTTAATACTTTATAATTTGCATGATACTTTTTAAGTTATAAGCATATTAGGCATTCAGTTGATATTTTATAGTGTGTCTTTCTATGTTGTGATGTTACACTATTGTTTTAGATAAGGGTGAAGGTTTGGTACCATTAAAACGTTTAAACCTGCTGCAATTGTTTGCACCTGTCCTAAGTCAGGAATCTGATGTTCAGTAGTTGTCAATTGTTGATGTGGTTCATAAGTGTTTCTGGTTTCTTGTTTTTGTCTCGCCTTGACAGAGTCAAAAAGCGAGACATAGGTATGCTGTTTCTGGCGGCAGCGGCGGTGTCAACAATGTATTAGTTTGTGATTAGGTCTAATTCATGGTGAACCACTAGTGGTAGGTCAATGATATTTGGTATGCAGTTGTATTAGCATTGGCACATATCATTACCATGGAGATTATTTGGCCCTGCCCCCTCAGTCAAGGTCTATTGACTTTGAAACTTTGCTTAGTTTACATGTATTAGTTTGTGATTAGGTCAGTTTATGGGGAACCACTAGTGGTAGGTCAATGATATTTGGTATGCAGTTGTATAAGCATTGGCATATCTCATTTCCATGGAGATTATTTGGCACGCCCCCTCATTCATGGTCTATTGACTTTGAAACTTTTGCTTAGTTTTCATGTATTAGTTTGTGATTAGGTCAGTTTAAGGGGAACTGTTAGTGGTAGGTCAATGATAATTGTATGCAGTTGTATAAGCATTAGCACATCTCATTTCCATGGTAAATATTTGGTCCTTACCCCTCAGTCATGGTCTATTGGCTTTGAAACTTTTGCTTAGTTTACATGTATTAGTTTGTGATTAGGTCAGTTTAAGATGAACCACTAATGTTAAGTCCATGATATTCGATATGCAAATGTATTGGCATTTGCAAGTTTCATTTCCATGGAGATTATATAACCTCATCCCCTAATTATGGTTCATTGACTTTGAAACTTTTACATAGTTTACAAGTTAATGTTTGTGTTTAGGTTTGTTTAAAGGGAACGACTTATGAAAAGTCAATGATATTTGGTTTGCAGTTGTATTAGCATTGGCACATCTCATTTCCATGGAGATTGTTTAGCCCTGTACCTTCAGTCATGGTTCATTGACTTTGAATATTTGCATAACTTACATGTTAAAGTATTGCTATTTTAATTTCAACATTTGCATTATCAAAATAACAAATAGGCTAGACATATCTCTGTGTTAACAGTTTATTTATATAGATTAGACCGTTGGTTTTCCCATTTGAATGGTTTTACACTAGTAATTTTTGGGGCCCTTTATAGCTTGCTGTTCGGTGTGAGCCAAGGCTCCGTGTTGAAGACCGTACTTTGACCTATAATGGTTTACTTTTATAAATTTTGACATGGATTGAGAGTTGTCTCATTGGCACTCATACCACATCTTCTTATATCTATATATACACAGGTTTGAACGTTGTTTTCAATTTAGACTTGTTTATATATACACATATATATAAATCAGCCATTTATTGTCATTTGAAATTAAAAAAAATATTACTTATCATATATTTTATTTTACAGTCAGACAGCCGAGCACCAAAAGCACCGAAGGCACCAGACAAGCCACTAATGCCTTACATGAGATATAGCAGGAAGGTATGCAACAAACATCTCTATTCTAATTATAAACCATTTGAAAACACTAATGTTAAGAAAATATTAATATATATTAGATAACTGATAATACTAAAGTCTTGAGTTAGTAGAAATACATTTAAAAAGGAAGCATTTTTTATTAGAAAGCAGTGTTCTCCCCAGGATTTTTGGATAGCACCAGGGTAACACGTGTCAAAATGATTTGTACAATATGTCGTGTCGTGTTGCATCACCTTTTTTTTTCTTGTTAGTTTTTGTGTCATTACCTTTTTGTCTTTGTTTTGTTTACTGCGTTATGTAGACTTTGGGCCAAAAAAATTACTGGTAAAAAAAGAAGTAAATCAATAAACAGTTTGTATACTTTAATTTCTTTTAAGAATAAATAAAAGAAAGCACTATTAGTCTTTAAACTTTAGTCACTTTTTATATTTTGATCAAGCCAATTTTGTCCTGATACTTTAGTTACACTACACATTCCCCATTTTTGTTAGATTACACCATAACAATTAAATTTAAACAAGATTAAATTTTAATGCAGAACCTCTAGTAAATTAAAAGCTATTTTCCATAGCTTAAGACATGATTCTTTGAAACAACAATACAATTATTATTAGAATCATTATTGTGTTACTTGGTAGACAGACATGAGAAGTAAATTTATATCATCTATCTGTACACCCATATATCATATCAAGCTGAGTTCCAATCAGTGTCTCAAGACTGGGACTTCTTTCACACAAGTCAGTTCCCAAACAAATGGAAGTTTCTAACGACCTTGACTAGCTATACAGCCCTTGCACGGTCAGTCAGTTCCCAATTGGAAAATACTACTTATTTATTATAATATGTCTGTGCATTAATAAAAGTATGATTATCAAAAATAATTTGCAATACATTTTTGTTGGTATGTTGAAAGAAAGTTTTTATCCTTTCGCTAACATTCTTATATAATTTTGCATTCAATTTGTACTTTATTTCTATTTTCAGTGATAGATAATATTTTAGGAGCACTTATTTGTAATAAGCTAAATCAGGGGAAGTAACTCCAACACGTTTAAAATACGCAAATTATTTATAACCAAAGGCTGGAGTTATAGAGTTAATTAACAAATGTCTGCTTGTCCCTCACAAGTCTGATCATTAATTATGATCTCTTAATTAATTAAAACACAAAAGAATCATGTACATCGATTAAATCCAATCATCAAGGTTAACCTCAAAAGGTAAATCGATCACGTGGTGTAAACAACCTAGTTGTAAGAACTGGATTGAACTGGTTTGAACTGGTCAGTTTTCATCTGAAATTTTATACCCCACGGAAAAGGTTTAACAAGTCGTTTAAAACTTTACCGATTTACGATTTTTTTACCGAAAATTTTAGCACCACGGAGAAAAATTATACATCGCGGCAAGAACGATACCACCAAGGTAGAAAATTATACATCGCGGGCCCGCGGTCCTTTAAGGGCCTGGGGAGAACACTGAGAAAGCATAGCATAAGCTTTTTACATTATGACAATCAGTACATAAACATCTACAAAATCATCTTGTTTTCATTTATATTTTAATATTTTCACTGGTTCAATACCACGGCTGGTGTTTTGCTAGTCCCAGGGGGTGTCACCCTCTCAGTAGTCCATCCTTTTGCTGCTGACATGATTTATAACCTACCTTTCCTTAATTCTCCATTAATAAATTTAGAAATTATTAACAAATTAAGGCAAGCTTGATATTAGATTGATTTGGTTATTCTCTTTAGGTCCCTATTTGTAGTATAACTCAAGTATTATAAATCCTTGACTTTTAAATTTTTAGTTTGGGTGTTCCTGAATGTTCATCCAGAAAAACACTTCAGACAAACTTTATAAAATGATTTTATGCTCAATGTAGGGGGCTTGGTAGAATAAAATATTTTAGTATGGAACATAAGCTAACAATCAGTCATTGAAGGAAACACAACTATACATTTTCTTTGTAGATATGGGATAGTGTGAAGAATTCTAATCCAGATTTGAAGCTATGGGAGATAGGCAAGATAATTGGACAGATGTGGAGAGATTTGGATGAATCTCAGAAACAGGAATTTATGGACGAATATGAATCAGAAAAGGTAGGAATCCACACATTTTTCTTGACAGAATGATCATGGTAATGTACCAGCAAGAAGAAAGGGTTATATACAATTACTATTTAACTTCTTTTAAGATGGTTAACAAATTAAAGATGAATAATTCTATGATGCATGTACGATACAGGGAACCATGTCTAGAAGTTGTCTAGAAATATGATTTATTGTCCTGCTGAAATTGCAAACTCAAATCCTATTTTACTACTGAGTAGAAATCAGCTTTTAGTTTACTTTCTCTTACTTTATATTAAAAACTACATGATTTACATGGTATCAAGAGAGGAAATAGTTTATAAATTAAAATGACCATGAATGTGCATGAAATATTTGCCACTTGATGTTGAGAAATCAACAATCAATCTATCAATCTGATATGTAATTGGCATATATGTAACACTCAGAAACGTGTCCATCCCCCCAAACGTGTCCGATTCCCCCAAACGTGTCCATATGACGTCGCTGAACTGCAAAACATGTCTAGGTGCTAAAGGGCGCCAAAACGTGTTCTGTTTATAAGCGCCCAGTTGTGTCCATTTAATTAAAAAAAATGGCCAAACGTGTCCGGTTTATATGAAACCGTAAAGTCTCACTTTTAAAAGCACACAAACCTCTTTTGCATGAAGCAGGTCGTACAATACCCTCATACATTATATAGCCATTTAGGTATCATCGAAGAATATTAGTACAATAGAATCCACTTAGTAAACAATTATTAAAACTGTACAAAACTAATAAATTGCAATGTTTATGTTTTTTTTAAATACGCATGACATATTTGCCACTGGACATTAAGCAATCAACATTCAATAGTTCATTAGGTGTTGCAAATTTAGCTTTCATACTTAATAAAAAATAACCGGCGTTGAACAAATTAATGCTAATAAGTTTCCACTTTATTAACAGTGAAGCACCGTGAAAATTTACAAGATAAAATATATTAAATTTTTATTTGTGAAATACCTCTATCTGAACTTTATATAAAACATTATTAAAACCGCTGCAAGTAAAAATAACTTTTTATTGTGGGATTCTTTTTTAACCTGGTGTCTATTTTTTGAAAGCAGAAGTCACTGTGCACAGTGAAGCATGTCTTGAACATTTGTCTATACGGCTTACTAAACTTTCATCCAGATTTCTTTGGGTAGCAACTTTGATTTTTTAAGAATTCAACCGAACCCGACGTCTTTTATCGTATCCCACGCCATATAATTGCAGTAAACGTTTTTGACTTCAAAGAGTTATATTGGCGCTAAAAGTTTTGAGACGTTGTGGCGTTTTCATCTGGACACGTTTTGGCGAATAACAATTATCGGACACGTTTGGGGATGTGAAATCGGACACGTTTGGGCGATTTATGATTTGAAGGACACGTTTGGGCGGAATAGACACGTTTGGGGGTATCGGACACGTTTGGGGGGATGGACACGTTTGGGAGTGTTACATATATGTATTGTTCATGTTGTTATGAGGATAAACAATGTATAATTCATTATTTTTTTATTACATTACAATTTACGCTTTGAAACTAGAATTAAAATTTGTTATTGTTTACAGGCTCAATACAATGAAGCAATGAAACTTTATCATAATTCTTCAGCATACCAAGCATGGGTTGCAGCTAAAGGAAAAGGTACATACAACAAATACAACAACAACAAATAATTTATTAGAGTCTCACCTCTTTAAATCATTTGATATAAATAGAGAATATCATATGGCTTTTTCAATATCACATCCGTATCAACCTGAGACACCCAATATATCCCAAGAGCTCTGCTCTAGGGATTATATTGGTTGAGGGTTGATACAGTGTGTGATATTGAAAAAGCCATATCATATACACTTTATTATATACATATACTTCACGTAGATGTTTTTTTATGTGACATGACGTCATACTGATGAGGAGGTTTGAAATGACGTCATAGAGATTATAGGTTTGACATGACGTCATACAGATTAGGGGTTTGATAAAGCCTTTGTAACAGTAACTGCAATCGATGACATGACGTCATACAGATTAAAGGTGTGATAAAGCCTTTGCAACCGTGCTGATATCGATATCATCACGGGTGGATGATACAGCACGCTTGCCAATGATTGTATTACACTTACAATTTATCTGTATTTACTACTAAGTATATAATAAAACACAATATGATAACAACAGATCAATTTATATAAGAGTCTCTCTAAAAAGAATTATGAGAGACTGTAAAACACACATTAAAAATACATTTATATTACATATATAATATATCAATATATCTTAGCATAAAACACTATAGTATTAAAAAGCACTTCTTTTCTCATAATCAGAAGATAAAAAAAAAAACATTATATACAGTTATTACGAGTATAAAATACACTTTCTCTTAACAAGTACTTCATGGCAGATATTGGCTGCGAAATGGCAAACTCTGTCGTCATGAAACATAAATAAAAAATTTTCCTCATTACACAAATTATTAAAACCACTTTCTACATTACATACACTGCTAAAAAAGATCGTTAGCAAATCTGCATATTCTGGGCATTCCAACCACAACATGTTTTTCATCTTCAATTACATCGAAATAATTTTTTCTATAATTAAAAACAAAACCTTTCATTTACATCTATACCTTCATATCTGCCAGTTTCAATTCTAATTACATGTTTTTGATAATGACCGAACTGTTTCTCTTATAACAGAATTATTTTTGTTATTAATTTATTTTAAATTTAAAAGTAAACAATAAACCATAGGAACTGAAAATTGACAAAAAGACAATCCTTGAAAATCTAATAACATTGTAGAAAGGCTTTTAATTAAAGAATACCAGATAAAGAATTGAAACTCAATGTTTAATTAAAGTTGAGTTTACCATTATAGTTATGATATTAAGGGTTGAAGTTTAATTATGATAAAATTGAGAATGGAAATGAGGAATGTGTCAAAGAGGCAACAACCCGATCAAAGAGCAGAAAAAGCCCAAGGCCACCAATGGGTCTTCAACTCAGCGAGAAAATCCGGCACCCGAAGGCGGGCTTCAGCTGGCCCCTAAAAAATAATGTATACTAGTTCAGCGAAAATGAACGTCACACTAAACTCTGGAACATATGAATGAACCAAAATTAAAAAAACATACAAGACTAACAAAGGCCAGAGGCTCCTGACATGGGACAGGCGCAAAAAATGTGGCGGGGTTGAACATGTTTTGTGAGATCTCAACCCTCCCCTATATCTCTAGCCAATGTGGAATAAACAAACACAGCAATACACACAATAAAATTCAGTTCAAAAGAAGTTTGATTTTAAACCCATTTATATATATCATGTACATGTTACTATGCTATTTCCAGCTGCAGCAGAGGCTGCTATGGAAGAAGAACAACAGAAGCAAAGAGAACAAAGAACACCTAGGGGTCAACAAGTAGGTTATAATTACCGTAAAGTGTACAAGTATATTAATCTGCATTTCATTAAGTAAACTCTTGTTGGTTTTAATTTTTCTCTCAGTTATATTTGATATATTTATGTTTTATTTAGTAAAGGATATATATGTTAATATATCTACCATGTCTACTCATTATGAAATTATAAGCAAAGAATTAAGTGTTGTTTGTATTCTATGAAGCCCTTTTGCTGAACCAGTAAAAAAAGTCTTTTGGTTAGTTTTGTTGTCAGGTTACTGTTTCATTGACATATACCCATCATCTCCCCTTACTCACATTCTCATCAAATAATCAGTTTTCAAGTTTTCTATATTGTAGGGTTGAATTTTTATGTTAATCATTCACAGAAGAGATAACAAATTGTTAATTAAAGGCACTTGTTAAGTAGAATGATTGTTATGATTGATCAAAGCCTTTGCTGATACTGTAGAAACATTCATTTCCCTGGGGTTAAAATTTCAAAGTTTTATCTGTATATTTAATTTGATTGGGATTAATTTTCGTGGTTTTCCAGTATGTAAAAGTACTATTCTATGTGGGTTAAAATTTTGTTGGGGTTTTAATTTCGTGGATATTATCTATCCATGAAATAAATGAAATTAAAACCTTAATGAAAATTTCTGCTTTTACAGTACTATTTTGTAAAGTAACAGCAAACTATATGTATTAATTCTATATTTTACAGGCAGCTAAAATGGAGGCCCAAGGGAGAATAAGTATACAGCAAGCTGATGAGGATGAAGGTTGGTTTAATTTTTTAGAGCAGAAAACAAGTGAACATTCACTGTTAAATCTAGTCACAGACAAACATAAGTAAGAGCATATCGTCAAGTGTCAAACTGTTCATAGTACAGTATAAAAACATGGTACAACTTGTAAGTCAAAATTGCTTTTCAAATCAGTTATGATACTGTAATTATAATATAATGTTTGGTTTATGTTGCAGACCCTAGTTTCTCTCCTCGACTTTCAATGATATGTTAACAAAATATATGAACTTGCTGGATGAAGTAAATTACCTGACTTGAGGGTACTTCAATATGATGGCAACTCATCAAAGCGATAACAGAAACTACATCATATAGTTTCCAACAATTGTCATGCATCCACACTAGATCACAAGCTCAACAATCTCCCAAGTATAGATAAGTTTTGAATGAGTTTAACTCAATTACCAAAACAAAAAAACTCTTTGTATAACTATGAGATGATGACACTGACATGGCACAGGCGTGAACACATTGTATTAAACTAGTTGTAAATAGTCAATAGAAATATATCTTGTACTAAATATAATTGATTAGTGTTTTCTTTTTGTAGATCCAGATGATGGATTTTCAGTGAAACATATAGCCCATGCAAGATATCTACGTAATCATAGACTAATAAATGACATATTCAGTGAAACAGTAGTTCCAGATATAAGGACAGTGGTTACAACAGGGAGAATGGGAGTGCTAAAACGTCAAGTGCAATCATTAACCATGCATCAGGTACAAATATACTCATAGACAGGATTCCTAAGTCTCAATTGATATTGAGGCTTAACTAAAATTTGTTTGCATGTTATATTATTAAAACTGTAAACCTACATTTTATGTAATCTGTGTCATTTATTTTGGCATCCTATTACATGTTCTCCTGCAAGACATTAGTTTTTCTGTGGATTCATTTATTTTCTTTGATATCAATTTTTGAGGATTAAAGAAAAAATTATTTTTGTTGATATTTGATTTTATTGTTTTGCAAAAGACTACATAGAAGCCTATAGATAATTCCTACTTCCTTGAAGATTTGAATTCATGGTCGATCTATACAAATACACAAAAATATGTATCACAAGAACAAGAATGAATCCACAGTTGTACTGAAAACTATTAACAAGCAGGAGTTATATACAGGGAAACTTCTTAAGAAATATACCGTAGATACTCGCCTAATAGTCGATCCTACTATAAGTCGGGGTCCCTTTTCAGCTCCAAATTCTAAGGATTTAGTCTTGACCCTCGTATAAGTCGGACAAAATTTGGGCATTTTTTTTTCAGCTGACAGTAACTGAACGCCGGTAAAACCAATGCAAATCCAGGAATAATATTCATTTCTGCTTTAATGTTTGTTTGGTTTGAATTTAGTTGATGCTCATCATGAGAATTTATATTGCTGTTAATAATAAAGATGTATTCATTTCTCTTGTTTTGTTCACTGTTCAAATGTTAGATTAGCCATGTGTTGTTTACGTAATGCATCAATGATTTTGTAGGGTATGACTGACAACCTATTGTTTGAGAAAAGCGAATATAAACCAATATGAACCTGAAAAATTTAAAGTCAATCAACACTTGATGAAAATATTTTTCACAGCATACATAACTCGGTGTTAAATGAGCATGTACACTTCATAATTCTTGTTATATTGTGATGATTAAAGGATTAAAAAAATTAAGTGAAGCTTATCAATATATTAAAATAACTAACTCCAACTCATTAGTGTCATCTGTTTACCTATCACTGATAGTTTTCACACCTTTAGTGAATACAACTCTTTGTCTCTTAATTGGGGTTATCAATGGATTATATTGGCTTGTCAATCAATTTTGTAATTTTTGTTTACCTGAGACACTATAATGAATAATATTTTGATTTTGGGAATGAATCTTAAAATTATTTTTTGATTATTATATGATTTATAAGCATTGAATTGATATCATGATATCACAATAATGACACAATAACTCCGCTGAAAACATCCTTTCACATATTTGGTACATTGTTATCTCCTTTTCATTTTTGGTTATTGGCTCTTCTTTTGGGTTTATAGGAAAACCATGTGACCATGAAAATCAATACACAAACCGGAAACAGTAGAATTTCAACACGAATTTGCAGAAAATGTTTACCAAAGAACAAATAAAACACAAAGACAGTATTGAAGTCATTTATTTTCAACAAAAACTTTTTATTTATTGATTTATGTAGGTTTGGCAATCAAAAACGTAGTTTTGACCAGGAAATTCACTCCTGACCACTTTTCTCAAGCTTGGATTTTTCCTCTGGTCGCTAGATCTCGTCTATTAGTCGGCCCCCCTCTCTGGATTATGAATTTTACTCCCAATTTTCCGACTAATAAGCGAGTAGGAACGGTAGTCAATAATTTAGTAGGTGAGAAGGTAAATATCAAATCTGTCATCTACCAAAATATCACTGCTTTTTAATCATGGAGAAACCTATAAATAGACATAAAGATTAATGATAAATAAAATATATAGTAGTGGGATCAAGTTATACATTGTCTTAGTTCTTTAGGTTAATATTGTTTTGTCATTTTTTTGCAGAAAAAATTAGAAAATGAATTACAAACAATTGAAGAAAAGCATGAAGCAAAGAAAAAGAGATTTTCTGAGGCTAGTGAACAATTTCAAGAAGAATTGAAAAAGGTAAGTTAATTGGGTATGGAGTTATATGTCTTAGCTTATGAAGTGTATATTTAGAAGTTAGCAATAAGAATGCAATAAACTACAGTCACAGATAATGTGATTAGGGCTATTCCATAAAAATGTATGTGGGAGGGTAGGAAGGGAAGTTTAATTATTGAATGTGGGTCATGGGTCTTTTTTCAGTATGCGTCTATTACCGTTATGCAAAACTATCTAAAAAATGGTTCTTGGTTGTAGGGATATTTTGAAAGTCCCTTCCTACCCTCCCACATACATTTTAATGGAATAGCCATTATCTTCTGGTCTGTTATAATCTTGAATGTACAATAATTTTGTTATAACCTTAAACCTACAAATTGGGTTTGTAATACCCTTGGAACAGATCTGAACATACAATTTTGTTTGGTTTTGAGATATTTTCATTAATATTTAAATATTAGCAAAAGTCTTTCCTCAGAAAAAAAGATATTTTGCTACAAATTGTCTTATACTAAGATTTTGGGTGTAAAATATCTTTTTTGAATAAGACTACTGTTCATATATAAATCTATGAACAAAATTACCATTTAGATCAAGTATGTGAATTTGACATGTTCATGACATCACAGACCACATTTCTGCTGAAAAAAGACCAGGATATATCATTCATTTTTCAACTTTTGCAATTTTTGTTTATTTAGTTTACCTCCAAAAATTCGTACCTGTTTATATCACACAGCTATTTATGATAAACATGATCACTTACAGTCAGGAAAATTGTTTATTTACAGCTGTGTGAAAATAAACCACAGATTAGTGACGAGATGTTCAATACAATGATGGTCAAAGCCAAAGAGGAACTGAAGCAAAGACACATACAGTATTTACAACAGCAAGAAGAAGAGAAAAAAAAGCAAGCAGAGCTAGCAGAAAAAAGAAAGAAAGAAGAGGAGGAGCGAATTAAACGAGAAGAAGAAGAAAGATTAAAAAGAGAGGAAGAAGAAAGGCAGCATCAGCTAGAAAATCCTGTACCACCACCACCTATTGTTTCAGAGGTAGAAATGCTTATATGGTAGTAAATTGTCTTAAGTTGAAAATAGGATCATTGTTTCAACTTATCTTATGCCATTGGAGAGTATGACACTTTTTAGTCAATAAGGAATGAGGTATTCTTAACACAAGATCGCTTTCAAATTTGGTTATACATACATTAGGTAATATGAGAATAACATATGCTGTTATTAACTTGTGATGAATTGTGAACATATAAAATGTTGTTGATATAGAGAAAAAGCTACTGTAAATGCAGAATAGTCCTTAAAATATTAATGAAATTCTGCTACATAAAGGAAAACTATCTGACTAAACAAAGAGTTTGAATCCAATAGCTAACTAAATCAAAATGTTAATGTAGATTTTACATAAAATATAATTTCTTAACATTACAATAGGGACAAGTTATGCCTATTTTGCCACAAGTTATGAACCAGGGTGTAATGCCACCACAGCCACCAGTTGCAAACCAGAATATGGTGCCAAATCAGCAAATGATGAATTCACCAAATGCAGTGCCACAACAGCCACAAATAATGCCCATGCCAAATGTGGTGCCTCAACAGAACATGTTGCAGCCACAACAAATCATGCAGAACCAGAATATGATGCCACAGAATGTTATGCCACAACAGAACATGATACAGCCACAAACTGTTATACAGCCACAGCCTATGATGCCACAGGTTGTTTTAATATAATAGAAAAATAGAATTCTCAATACCATGTGTTTCTAATACACTAATTTGAATAAAATATGTTACAATGCTCCAACTTTTAGTACATGTATAAAAACTTTATTGGCTTGATCATTTTTTTAAATTTTGTTTAACTTATTGAAATGTATTGCTAAAAGAAATGATATATTTTTTCTTGTATTTGATTCTGGTGGTAAAGAAATAATCAGATGGTATATTGTGAAAATTTTTTATTTCAGGATCCTTCAATGGAACAGGCAAACCAACAACAAATGATGGAAATGGGTAGTATTGATTCTCCAGATTCTCAAAAAACAGAGGTACAACATTATACTAGATGTTACATATTTTCATCATACAAATTATTGTAGATGCTGTACAAATTTTATAACCTTTAATACTTTAAAATATAGTAAAGATAAAGAAATAGATGTTACATATTTTGATCATAAAAATTATTGTAGATGCTGTACAAATTTTATAACCTTTAATACTTTAAAATATAGTAAAGATAAAGAAATGATATAGAATACCACTCACAGAAACCAATGACTGTTATCTTTTTGTTGGATTCATTCAGTTTCACTGCTATCAAGTTAAGTATAAAAAGTTGGTCTGCTAGTTTTACTTTAAACACATTTTTTTTTTAGGTAGATATACTTTTATGATTTCAAGAGAAATTTTTGGTGTATCATTGATGTAAATTATTCTTGCCATTTTTTCAGGATTTATCTCAGGATGGCATGGCTGTAGGTATGGAAGGTGCTGGTGATGAATCCTTTAATTCTATGTCACCTGATGACTCAGCCAAGTCATCACCAGATGGCATGTCTCCAGATAAAAGTATGATGTCAGATAGTCAAGAATCACAAGAGGACAATTCTCCACAAAAGAAGAGCAAAAAGCCAGCCCACAGAAAGAAAAAGAAGGGGGATGACAGGAAAGAAAGTATGTTGTGTTTGTGCTTGCTTGCGCATGTGGATTTTCTTTATAAATAGAGATCATTATCAGGATAGGTTGTGTAGGGCATAGTTATACTTGTCCAGGTTTTCAAATTTTGTAAACTTAATAAATTTTGAAAATCTATTTACTCAACAACATCTTCCAATCAAAAGATTCCTCAATTAATGCTAAAGGTTGCATGGTTAAGAAAGAAAAATATCCCAACTAAGTTAGAACAAATACATTTGTTAATGACACAACTATTGTTATTGATTTCAAAAATAGATGGAAACAATTTCAAGTAAAAATTTTAAAATATAGCTGATAAAGATTTATCAGGTCTTTATGTATTATTTGTTCATTACTTTAAGTAAAGATTTTAGCCTTGGGGTTAGAAAGTATCAGCAGTGTTAAGCTCAAGTTAGATAAAAAACATGGAATATTGTGTCATAAGGAAAATGGACAAGTATAACTGGTTAGGTGAAGGCATAGAACACGGATAGAAATAAAAATAGAACAAATGTAGTAATTAGATAAGCAACAAAAAAAAAAAAAAAACAGGGAGAGATAGTCACATATCATTTTCATACACAAACTTCTTAGTTCTTCGGTAGAGAAACATTCTCTCATCAAAGAGGTGTTCTCAAAAGAAAAATTACATGATTATGATATAATTGGTAAATTTTACTTAAATCCTAGATACATCATAAATGGTATTCCAAAACATTGTTTTACATCAATTTACATATATATAATTTCTTTATTCACAAGTAATCTTTTATCAGTAAAAAAAGCTACACATGCACTACCATGCAATAACATTAATATTGTTTAGGTGTATTTGTAATTCATTACTATCGGACTTCCAAGTAGGATGGTAGTAAGCACAATTTCTATTAATCATTGTTATATTGTATTGTTTTTCTGATTTGCAATAGATAGCCACATTAAATTTTAGTGTTTATAGACACTGTCGTCCCCCCAGATAGATGAGATAGTTGTATAAGGCATTATTTGCTAGTAAATAGCTTAATTTAGGACTTGGCCATTGCTAAATGAAGTAGATAGTTTTTACGCATGTTGGATAATAAAAGGCATGACGATGAATTCTGTGACTAACATTTTTTGGCATGAGAAGTAATGTCATTTTGTGGATGGATATTTATATTGCATGCCATTGAATTTGACAAACTGTACCTTGCAAGTTAAAAAGAAAAGAAAATTAGAATTTTTGTTTAAATAATTAGAATTTATGTTTTTGGGAATGATGATTTTGTTATTTTACATCAGTAATGGGGAAAATATAAAACTAACAGTACAGTAAATTTTTCATTAATGAAAGTGTTTATAAACAATTCCTAGTTAGGGGCATCCCCTGTTTATGGTTGAACGAAAGCTTAGGATTTTTTTACAGCAAAGAAGGGGGAATTCATTGATGTATTTTCATGAATGTATTATAGAATGGCGTTAGTATGACAGCATGTTTGAGATAACATTTTTCAAAGACAATACTTACAGTATTTCCAGACTGATCCAGTTGATACACACATTTGATTTTAATTTTGTTTAGTTTTAGTTCTTTTAATTTGCAAGGGAACAGCTTTGTTTTTTGCTATGAAAACACATCTAAGGTCATCATCTGATATTTCATAATAGTAAGAAGCATGCAGAATAATTGCTTTGAACTTATTTAATAGCCAAATAATCTATAAATGCAAATAATTTAGATGTGAAAATACCTGCTGTTTAAAGCTTATACAAATCTCACTCCAATAATGATCCTTTTTCTTTTTGAGCCAGTGATAATGGAATATCATTGTGTTCCTATGTCACTGATTGTGCAAGTGTCAATATAAAAATAAATAGAAAATGAAGATATCATTAAATGCTCCAAAAATTGTGTTGATAATTGAGTTCTACATTATTTTTAACTGTGAAAACTGATTTCTATTAAATGAAAGTCTGGGAATGCAAGAAATCCTTGTGACATTGTATTGCATAAGCATGAAAGTTTAAGTATATATAGACTGGAAAGTACAACTGGCATTTGGCTTTAAATAAATAGATATTTTATACTATTTTATCATATTATGATAGAGTTACTTTTAATTGAAGACTTAGATGTGTTTTATGGTGGTTTTATGTTATTTTATGCATGATATTAACATTTTAACACTACTAACAGATATGCTGATGAAAATAATGTGAATTTTACAGTTTGTATATTTTGAATGCAACAGACAACAACACAATATTATACTGTACATTTCAGTTTATTTTATTTTTTTTCGATTTGGTTATATTGGACTAATCTTCTCTTTACTTTGCACTTTATCTTTTGAGTTTATTTTGTTATATTGCATTTTCTTCAATTATCTGATTTGACTTTTCATTTGGTTTTTTATACTTTTTTCTGTTATTTTTAAAAAGTTTTCTGCACATTTGCACATTTGTTAAGAAGCAAATTGTTTGAAGTATTCATTTGGTAATCTTCCTACTCTGAAGTCAAATTGAGGAATCTAGTGCCTATGAGTGAATGTTTAATCTGCATATTAATTTATGTATACAATTTTTCTGAATATTAAAAGTCCCAGTGTCATCATGTTCATCTTTAAGTTTATTTGGGGCCAAAGAATTTAAAAAGATGAGATTTTGTAATTTATTGCTGATAACTGTCTAAAATTTGGTACATTTATGTTCTAACACCTGTCAATTGATATTGGCTGAAATCTTGCTAAAACCTGACAATGCTTAAATTAATGTTTTTATGCATAAAGCAGTATTTTATGAAAATAATGGATCAAATCCTAGAATAAGAAAAAAATGAAGAGAAACTATTTGCTGATTAACAGTACTAATGACCATTATTTTGGGTGTTACACATTTAAGTACTAAAAGTTATTGCACCAAAATTAACAAACTAAAATGCACATAATTGAACCTGTATTATGTATGCAAGTTCACCATGAATAGGGGATGTAATACGAATCTTCTTAGTCAGTTCTTACATTTCTAAAGGTAAAAATTGAAATTAATGTCTTGATTTAAAGATCAAATTATTTATGCAAATGTAAGATATCATTACTAAGTACCAAATTATTGCATCTTCCAAGTAGCAGAACTTGTTCCAACATCCATTTGAAAATACCCTTTCAGGTTTGTAAATTGAAAGTAAAGTAGAAAATGAAATAAATTTTACCATGAAACGTTTGTTTAACTTTGCCTTTTATCCCCTGTTATGTATGCCAGATCCCTAATTTCTTATGTCATTTATGTCTGTCATTGCTAGTAGCCCTGTGAAATTAGTTTAAGAATTGAAGAAAGTTTAATAGTCAAATTTTGACCCTTCGTGATATCAAGTCTTTTGCCAAGTTCCCCATTTGTACCCCAGTGATATGTTATTTTAATTTTTAGGTCCCCGTCGGTACCCTTGTGATATCTGTGGTAAGGCGTTCAAACACAAGCACCATATGACGGAACACAAGCGCCTCCATACTGGAGAGAAACCCTTCCAGTGTAAACGGTGCCTCAAACGCTTCTCTCACTCCGGATCTTACAGCCAACACATGAACCACCGCTTATGTAAAACCTCTGGCGGTAACGGTGAGAAAATCATTCATCACATTGGCCCAATGTAGGGTTCTGATGCATTTCCATATGACTGAGAATGTCATTTTGATCCTGTTGGCATTTTTGATCAAATTAGCTTGAAATAAATCTGGATATGTGACTTTATTCAAATCTTTCACTTTGGAAATTTGTTCAAAACAGAGTGTTATTAGGCCTCACCAAATTTATAAATTACTGTTAAATCTGTCAAATATTTATAAATGTTTGATATTGATGTTATTGTTTAATAGGTGGTGGAAATGATTGGAACCCTCCACTTTAAATTCACTCATTGCATTTCACTTATCACAGAACTACATTTTGATTGAAAACAAAAAGTATTAGGGAAACTTACAAAAAGTGGTGTACTCCTCTGTAAGAGTAGAAGAATATGCCACGTTTTAAAAACCAAATCTCTTTTGGAATGATTTTTTCTTTACTTTTTGCATTAACATTTTTAGCATAACAAATGTTGTTTTTTCTTTTGTTTGTTTGTGTTTATTGCTTGTTTATTTGTTGTCTGTCAGCATGGTAACATTGCATTGTCTTGAAACTGGTGCATCACAGAATTTGCATATGTTGTAAAGTCCGTTGCATATTGAAATCATTGTAAATATTTTGTTGATGTAGATTTTTTTTTCAGGAAATACTTTCTTTCTACATGTGTATCATTGGATCTTTGTGATAGAAATTTCAGGGATATTGTACAAACAAAACAGAAGCTCACTGTGCACATTTCACTTTTAAAGAATGTGGCATAAGGATTAAAATCAAAAATGTTTTCTAATGTCAAAATAATTTTAAAAGTTCAGTTGTTATAAATTCATATTATAGGACCCCAATTTTTTTGTTTATACAATATAGAAGTAAGAGGATGTGGTATGAAACTATCCACCGAAGACCAAAGGAAAAGGCTGTAAACAACTACAGGTCTCTGTGGTCTTTGGTGGATAGTTATCACATTGGCAATCATACCTCATTTCCTTATTTTTTTAGGGGAACCTTTGAATATTTATGATTCTTGAAGCTTTTTCATTGGCATACATTTCAGATAAATTGTAAAAATTATTATGAGATCTGAGATGTTTCTAAATTGATTTTAAAAGTTCTTCTAATTTCATCGCATTATTTCAATAAGGTGTCATATCATTATATACATGTAATTCCACAAAATGAAGGAAGATATAATAATGAAGGTTTTTTGTTTAATGAAACACGTCTTTGTTCTTCGCCTTTATCCAACCAATTTTGTTGTGTCGTGTGTTGTGACTAATCCTACTAAACATCTAACGATAGACCTACAAACACTAATTCACCTCTACACTTCAATTTTGATACTTGTCTTAAAATGTATTGTATAAAACCATATTTATTTCATTTACTCTGTCTTTGACAATATTGTGTGTTAGTGTTGTTGACTCCTTAAAACTTTCATTTGCCTGGGACGTTGTTAGAATCAATATGTTGGTTGGTATGAGAAATATACACTGTGTAACAATTTCATTCTATTATGAGATTAAAAGAAGATGTTGGTTATCTGAAACTGAGACAGCAATCCAACAACACAATGAAACCAAGAATTTCAGTCTTTTAAAGCTGGTATTTTAGGGGTTATTGTAGTAATTTAGAAACTGTTTCAGCAAGAAATTCAAAACAATACTTTAAAGGTTTAAATAGATTAAGCTTGATAATATATCAAATTTTGGGTATGGTTTATACCATAATCATTGTACTGACTCATTCTTTAATCTTTGTTATTTCAATACCATTTCCCTTTTCGGGGTTGTTATAAGATGAGCAATAAAATACATTAAAATCATTTTCATTTGTCAATTATCATGATTATGATGCCCCTTAAGGAGCAGAGAAAATATAATTACAATGTTCAAATGGTTACAATAATTTTTGTCGATTGGAGAATAAAAATAAACTAAAACTAATTGAAATGCATAAAAAGTGAGACAACAAAAACAATTGGAACAGTGCAGATGGAATTTTGATGTAAAGTGTTGAAAGAGCTGGTGGGTTACTCACATCTTATTAATTTTTTTGGCTCTTCTAGTCTTAATTACTGTGACTTGGTAAGCAAGTGTTGCTGTCCATCTATTGCAGTTCATTCAATATTCTGACCAAATTGCAATTTGTTTTATCAAATCGAACTGTTCAACTTGTCAGAAATTTAAACCAGCTGCTGTAGAAGTGCCACTGTCAAGTCATCTGTGCATAATACATCTTGGATACTTAAAACAGCCATGACAGCAAAAGTAAATAATAAACCTACATAATGTCTAAATTTTGTGATAACTTATTTAGGATAAACAGTTCACATATCATGTTTAGTAGCTATGTTCATAGAAAAAATTGGTCAGCTTAACCTACATTTAGCAAAATTTTTGTAAATGTCATGAGTAATGCATTACAGGATACTTGGAAGTGATATATATAATGAAGTTACAAATTATGTCCCTGCATATCTGCCCATTGAGAGTATTAAAAGTCATCCATTAGGGAATGCCACAACCAGTAGAGAATAAGGACATCAAATGTCTGTTCTTCTTTTATCACCTCCTGCATTGATTTCAAATCATAAACCTACATTTACAGTTTTCCAATTTATTTGAAATTGAGAATGTAAATGAGGACCATTATTCAAAGCTTGAAGTTTCATTCAACATATTTCATTAGTGTCTGTCATGAGTTATGGTCCCCTGCATGTCACACCACTTGGTATGTGGTAATATGGCTCCCTCCATCAATACTCAGAGACCCTTTGACATAAACTATTCATACTTGCTAATGTTGTCATATTCTCTTTACTTGGCTCTGCCATCAATTTGATTTGACAATTTTTACGGGACTTATGGGGCTTTTAGTATTTTAACAATGACACCTTGTGAACACAACTCCTCTGAGTCCAAATGGCTTCTAGATGGTAACTTTAGTGTCCATTGTTTGATTGGAATACAGTTGAAGGACAAAGGAGGGGAGTAAGCCTATTGATTTTGGGGTCAAAAGTCAAGGTCATTTTCTAAACATGAGTTTCTCTTGCCTGATCGTAAAGAAGAGTTGATATTGGGGTCAATGGGTCAAAGTTCAAGGACACTTTCATTAATATTCAATATTTAAAAAAAAATGGTTTTTTGATGGTAACTTGAGTTTCCCTTTCCTAATTGGAATGAAACTTATGCAGATTGAAGATAGGTGATTGGTAAGACACACACTGTCAAACCTGTATAAAGCAGTCATTCATGGAAACCTTTTAAATGAGGTTCCGAAAAAATTCTGATTCCGACATCAAATGTGGCCAGGATCAAGGCAAATTGTATTAGTGTTTTCAATCGGTAGAGTTTGTGTTCATGTGAGCAGACAAATAAAAAATGGTAGAAAACATTTGAAATAGTTGATATTTTGCGTGGAGAAATAAGTCGAAGATACGGTTTTCAATGGAAACTGAAAGGAGTAGAACGCAAGAAATTCAAAAATTCACTTATTGATCTTGGTTGCAAACTGGTTTCCATTCTCATTTTGATCCGATACTGAACACATTTTTCGTCATGATTATATTTTAGTTGTTAAAAACATGAAAATGACCGTTGTTAAAAGTTGAATTGATGATTTTGTGCTAAGATTAGGTGACTGCTGACCACGTTAGACAGGTGAACGCTTGAAAGAGTTAATTTATATAGAGAAGTTGAGTGAACACGTTTGGGAGGGTCTGAAAGTGACTGTTAGAGGCAGGATCGACTGTACTGATTTCTCTCAGGTTAAAATTCTACAAATAAGGTGTTTTTTAAATGGTTTCTGGGTAGTAACTGCGAGTTTCCTTTGCCAAATTGGAATAAATTTACATAAAGATGGAAAATATATATGGAAGGGGAAGAAACCTATTAACATTTGAGTAAAAAGGTCATTGTTGTGAGCTTCCTATGCTTGATTGGAATGAAACTATTCAGATGGATGATATAGGGAAGGGGAAGACACCTTTGGATTTAAGTGCCAATCAGTTAAGTTCAAGTCCTTGGTTCTAAAAATAGTGACTGTTGAAAAAAGTTTGTTTCCTTAAAATGTAGCTTTTTTTTGGAGTTTTTTTAACAATATTATTAGCTATGTGCCCAACACTGAGCATGTTTCGCCATGGTAAGGGGAACCCCTGCCGAATGTGAGTGAAGTGGATTCACAAGAAGGGTTTTTCTGTATATTTGGGCTCTGAAGAAAGTATAGGTAACATTTTTTGTTTCCAGATATCTGACTTGTGTGCTGTTTAAGGAGCATCTGTTGGCAGGGCCAATTTTCCAATTGTTTTATGTATGATATGTATCAAACTTGACTAGGAAAATGATCGTTATACTATTGCACATGCTATTTATAATTAAATTGGGGTGAACAAATTTCTGAGGTCATGACGATAGTTGATTAGATGATGTCAGGTCCCAAAATCTTGACACTTAATAAAGATTTTTGTTTCCTATGGAATTTTTGTAATTCAAATATATATTTTAGTGTGTTACCAATCAAATTTGAGTTTGAGTCAATTTAGTCGAAACAAATATGACATACACAGCTAATTTTGCTTGGATTAAAGAATTTAGTATATATGAATAAAATAAAGTTTAATGTTTGCTTTGAAATAAAGAAACCAAAGTATCTGGAGGTTGTTATATGCCCGTTTACGGGACCTATTATTGTATACCGTTGTCCGTCGGTCTGTCATTCCGTCGGACAATAACTCAAAAACGCTTGAACCAATTTGCATGAAACTTTTGGGAATTGTTTATAACTATTGACATGAGCTCCCTTTGGATTTTTATTCATTAAAAAAAGGGGGATTTTCCAGTTTTTCGGACAATAACTCAAAAACACTGTCACCAATTTGCAAGAAACTTTGATGAATTGTTTATATCTATTGACATAAGCTCCCTTTCTATTTTTATAAATTTTTGATTTTATGTTTCCGAGTTATGGGGTTTTATTCATTAAAAAAAGGGGGATTTTCCAGTTTTCGGACAATAACTCAAAAATGCTTTCAGCAGTTTTCATGAAACTTTTGTGAATTGTTTATATCTATTGATGTAAGCTCCCTTTCGATTTTTATAAATATTAGATTTTACATTTCCGAGTTATGGGATTTTATTCATATAAAGGTGTGATTTTCCAGTTTTCAGACAATATCTTTAAAGTGCTTTGAGCAGTTTTCTTGAAACTTTGGTGACTAGTTTATATCTATTAAGATAACCTCCCTTTAGTTTTTTTTAAATTTCTGATATGACATTGAGAAGTTATTGAACTTTATTCTTGAAAAAGCGACGGAGGTATCATGCGCTTATTGAGCACCTGTTTATTGGAATTCAGGTCATTTCAATAGACAAACTAATAAGAAAAATCAAAACAAACAGTGAAATGCTTTCATTCAAATTAAAACTATTACTTTTCTTAAAAAAGCAACACATTTTATATGAAATAGAAACATATCCTACTATAGAAAACAGACATTGTAAATGTCCTGTACCAACAAAGAAATCAATAAATATTGAAATGTAGGTCAGTTTACTTTAATTAAAAGGTAACAAAATGAAAACACAGTACAAAATTCGTCTGAAAAGAAGGAAGGTACAAAGTTTTAGAACTTAAATTTTTTTCCACTTGTTTGAAGTGGGCTGTACAACTGCAGTTGAAAGTCCTCATATACAGGAGTTCACAGCAATATAAATGAGCTGAATAACTCTGAAAAACAAAAGCTTCAAAATTGTTATCCAACCTTCTTGCAAATAACCTTATTTGAAAGCCATCTTGTATACAGTAGATGTATTTGGTGTCTATTCACCATTTTAAATTTGATGCTACTAACACTAGCTTTATGTCTCACAACACTAATGTATTTTCTGTGATGCACCTTGTGTAAATCAAGCAATGGTCATAATCTAAAATTTGTCTGAAAAATAAATGTGATCAACTGTTATGCTATAAATCCTGTAGTTTTATCTATTTATTCTGAGTATATCATGTATTTACAGTGGAACCTGTGTCTTCAGAAGGACAAATAATTAATATATTCCAACTACATATACAAACAATTCTCTACATAAGTGCAAAATAATTTCAAATATTATCACTAGAATACAAAGGTTTAATGTACGAAATGTTTACATAGCTTTTTACATTGAAACAAAAAGCAACCTATTGCTGTTACTTAAGCAACTGACAACAATTCCATATTTTGTTATTTTTAAATGCAACTAGACCTAAGATGGCCTTGAAGTTGAACAGGTTTCATTGTGATTTCACTCAATACAACTATTTATGTTACAACACAATTACTGAGATGTTTTTATCCAAAGAACTTCAGGTATTAAATTTACTGTACAGATATTATGAATTTGCAACCATTTAGTTTGGTATAGACTTGTATTTTGGATCATACAGTTTGTTACATGAAAAATATAAATGTATAGAAAATCTGGAAGACAAGTTGTTGTTATTTTAATAATAATTGAGACAAAGTCCACTTTTTTAAAGTTTTAAATGCTTATTATATTGGATGAGAATATCTCAAGATTTGAGAAAAAAATTCACTGGTTCCTGAACATATAAAAAAAAAACAAACAATGGCTCACCATACTGACACGAAAATTAATGTGACATGAATCACAGGAATAAAAAGCCTCCTTATTGTTCAATAATAAAGATAAACATATTAGAAATAAAATAAGCAAGTTAAAAGGATGAGAGCAGTTAAATTAAATATTGGTTTCATATTTTGGACATAATTTTCTGTAATTGTCAAAGAAATGGATGAGCCTTTGTTGGGTAATATTATAAATTTTGGTTTTAAAAAGATTGTTTCAAAGTTTACTTTGTAAAAATGAATTTGGTGCTTTTGATTTGGTAAATATGAAAATGCTTATAGAAATAGTGAAATAAGTAAGGTTGTTATATTTTCAGGTGGTGACGAGATTAAAGCCTCTAAAGAGGATGACATGGATAAAGAAGACGGTTCTATTGTGGAATCAGAGGAGGAGGATCTTGGTGAAAGCATAGAATTGTCAGAAAAAGACATTTAGGGCACATGTACATTATCATTGTTGTAGTATGTGTATAAGTAACGTGAACCTAGTGAAATGTGACCTTTTTTTGTTAAATGTTTAAAGTTGAATATGCTTCCTCTTAGAAATAATTGGTTTCTTAATCTAGGTTTTGTTTTAGATACAGATGACAGTTTTCTTTAAAAAAATGCTTATTTCAATAAATGAGCTATTTTCCATCCCTGCATTCCACCAACAAAAAAATATAATTGGTTGTGAATTTTTGTTTGACATATATTCATCCTTGCTATAGAATGAAAGTGTGTGTTTTTCATCAGATACCTCTAGTCCGACATTGTCATTCACATGATTATCATTGTATGGTGCTTCATTTATTCATGTTTACCAAATTACAGACCATAGCAAATTTAGATTAAAGATAATGACTTAAAAACATATTGTTTATAGAGATAATGAAAACCAGATTTAAAAGTAAGAAGAAAAGATAAGGGCAAACATCCAAGTACTTTAAAGGCATATTTCCATTTGATTGTATATTTGAAATGGCAAACAGATCTGTGTTGATTATTTTTGTATGAAATCTATTGTATGCTTGCTTAGGAAGCAATAAAATAATGCAAGAAACAGTTTTATGTTTTTGTACTTCAGAAACATTAGTTGATTAGTAGACATTCATTAGGCAGAACTGTGTCAATACGTTAATGGTAGTGTGCTTACCTCTGGTGTGGAAGGTTGTTGATTTGATCATCAGCTTGGTCAAATCAAAGACTTGAACATTGGTATTTGCTGCTTCTCGTCTAAGCATATAACATTTAGGAGTAAAGGACGGTCAGCTGACAGAATCATATTCATGTTCTCATCCTGAATCTGCAGGATGTTAAGCAAGCATCAATCAATCAAGCAATCTGAATATGCAATTAATAGTTGCCACTTGATATTAGAAAGCTATCTATCCATCTGTTTTCATGGACAGCATCAAATAAAATGCTATAATGCTAGTTGAAATGATCAAATTTGTGTCATTGAGATGTTGTCTAATTAACATATTACTATCTTTATAAGCTGACTAAACAAATAGTCTGGGAGTATAAATTACAAATAAGAAGGTGTGGTATATTTGCAAATGAGACAACACTCCACCAGAGGCCAAATGACATAGAAGTTAACAACTATAGGTCACTGTACGGTCTTCAACAATGATCAATACCCATACCACATAGTCAGCTTAAAAGGCCTGGAAATGACAAATATAAAACAATTCAAGCAAGAAAACTAATGGCCTGATTTATGTACAAAACAATAAAGGAAAAACAAATATGATAAACAACAAGCACTGAATTACTGTTGAGTAATCTTCGATTAACAAATGACTTAAAGTCTTAAATTGTGGTGCTACACCACTGTCGCAGGTTAGGCCTAAGGGGAGGGTTGACTGCTCACAAAAATGTCAAACTCGCACGACAGTCTTTATGCATGTCCAAAGCCAGGAACCAGTGGTTGTTGGTTGCTGTCCAACAATTATAATTTTTCATTAATTGTTGCAGTAGAAATTCTCTATTGAATGCTCCAACGTTTTGTCATACAGGTGCCTTTTATTGCTTACTTTATGGTTTTCATTTTGCTCATTGTTGAAAGCTGTACAGTGACCTGTAAATGTTCAAATGAGTTGTTGCCTTTTAATGATAATTATAACCCATTTTGTGTCTTTATGGTGAACAGTACTTTGACCTATAATGGTTTACTTTTAAAAATTGTGACTTGGATGGAAAGTTGTCTCATTTGCACTCATACCACACCTTATATCTATTAGTAAAGTAGAGAAATACTAAACAGGAAAATAGATCTCTCAATAATTAATCTGACAGAATTCATTGGGAACCAATTGTGCTCCTCTTCTTGCCGACTTGTTTCTTTATTCATATGAGCCTGATTTCATACAGGAGCTTCTTTGGAAGAAAGAAAAGAAGTTAGCATTATCCTTTAACTCCACTTTCCGCTATAAAGATGATGTCATCTCACTAAATAATTCAAAGTTTGGTGACTTATGTTGAACACATCTATCCCATCGAACTTGAGATAAAGGATACAACAGATAAAGTTAAGTCTGCCTCATATCTTGACTTACATCTAGAAATTGACAATAAGGGTCTGTTGACAACAAAACTTTAAGACAGCAGCGCCTGCATATAGAGTATATGTCTACCAGTTGATACGATATTCCAGGGATTGTATTACCTATCATGATTTCCTTGATAGAGGGTTGCTGCTCACGAGGGAGCTATTGAAGTGAAGTGAAGGTGAAGTTGAAATCATCCGCTCGTAAATTTGTCCATCTGTCCGTCTGTCCATCCGTCAGTCTGGCAAATCAGCTTTCCACACTTTTTTTCTTTGTTCTTTAAGATATTGATTTGATATTTGGTATATAGTTTTATCATGACAAGTTATAGATCAAGTTCGAATTTTGTTCCGGTCTGATGATTTAGTCCAGAGTTATGACCATAACTCTGGACCATATCTAATGTTAGAGTACTATGTTAAACCATATTTCTGTACAAAGGGAGATAACTCATTTTTTAAAAGACATTCTTTGTTAAATTATTTGCAGATTTTTTTTACAGGTTTGTTTGTTATTTAGTATAAACTAATTTTCTGAATGCTATATATATAAACAAAAATTATGAAGAGAAATCCTTTAATTAGATAATAATCTATTTTTATTAATGTATATATTTCAATACATTACATTGTGTAGATAAAAGTTGTTGACATTTTATAGATAAGTTACAAATCTATATTAGTTTGTGACAAATGAAAGAAAAAAATATTTGGAACTATTAATTATATCTGATTATAATTTGAAAATAGATATACACTGTATTACATCATATCTAATTTTAGAGAACTATTAATCATATCTAATGTTTTTTCATCATGCTTATAAGATATTGATTGATAATTGGTATATAGTTTTATCATGACAAGTTACAGATCAAGTTCAAATTTTTGTTTTGGTCTAATAATATTGTGCAGAGTTATGGTCCTTGGACTTGAAAAATTCACTCATATAATCAGTTTTCCACACTGTTTTTAGTCATGCTTGAAGATATTGACATGATATTTACTTTTTGTTTACACAATGACAAGTTATAGAACAAGTTAGCATTTTGTTCCAGTATTATGAATTTTTACCTGGTAGGGGACTGTATTGCCATGCAATACTCTCAGAATGCTTGTTTTCTTCATTTTTTGCCATTGCATTGTCAGTTTATTTTCGACTTATAGTTGAAAGGTCTGCTTGTATCTTTCGCCTCTCTTTGACTCCTTATATGAGTTGTTGTCCTTCACTGACAGGAACTTAAAAAAAATAGTTTCTTGCTGAATATTTTGCTATTCATGTATGAAACAGTTTTCTTATTTTCTTATTTCTCGTTTATCAAAAATCTCAATAACTCCATATGTTCCACATGTTACTTCTTTGTTTCTGATGAAAGCCCTTTTTTGTTTGCTATTTGGTCAAAATAAATGCAGGTTAGAAATCATGCCTGTTGAAACCTTGTGTGTGTGTGAGTGTTTTGTGTTATTTGTTTTATATTATGTTTTTGTTTATACTTTCATTGTTTTAAAAAGTACTCAATAGGAATTTGAATTTTAGGTTAACATTGATATGTTTCAAATACAAGTCACGACATTTTTATTTTCTAGCATTATTACGAGGAAAAAATGTACACCTAGTTAAAGCAAAACTTATATAGTTGATTAACTAGTTTAACGAGCATTACAATAGTATAAAAGCAAAATTTTATCACAATGTCTCTATTTAAATATTTGTAAGAGAACCTTTATCTCATACAAATGTACGAAAATACCATATACTTTGGGACAACCATATCACGATAGCGGCCAGAACACTTTACAACTTTACCATGCAAAATTTTGGTCCAAAAGCAATCTTGTAAGCATCAACAAATACTGATTAGATCATTCAAAAATAAGAATTTTTTGTGTGATACTTCTATTTATCCTTGCTACATTAGTATAACAGAAAAAAAAATAATATAAATGTGAAATGTCAGTTTAAAATTATTTAATTGCACTTAAATTAAGATTACTATTCACTATGCAAAGTTGACCTTGGACAGTTCGTCTAGTGCTCTTACCTACTTGGGTTTCCAAACTTTAAGTCTTGGTCGTACCTGGTGAAGGTTAATCGTATTATATGAATGGACATCGAAATCTTACGTTTACAACTACCAAATTTTTTTAGAATGCAATGAGATATACATTTGTTCACATCAAAATTGTTCTATATCGAGAGTATGACGTAGATATAAGTAAACGATTTTAAGTATCAAAACACAAAGTTGAGGGATGAACCATGGTAAAAATCAATTCCTTTTCAAATATTGAATATAAGGTTACTGTAAATCTATAAAACAAACATCTTTAACAGGTTTGCCAGGAAGGAAATGTGCAAAGATGCAGATATAGAAATTTTCAATCGGTTGCAATTGTCTATAGAAGTTAAATCTTGTTTCAAACTGCTCAGAAAAGATGATGGGGAAAACCTTACATAAAGATCCTAACTTTCCTGCTGACCTGACTTAAACGATGGGACGGATTCTACCTACCTATCCTCTTCGCTCCTGGCGGAGCATAAGGTCGCCACAAGATTTCGCCATCCAACTCTGTCTTTAGCCTTTGTTTCGGCTTCTCCCCAGGTCATGTCAAGCTCCTTCAGTTCTGCTTCAATCGTTCGACGCCAGGTGGTTTTGGGTCTTCCTCTTGGTCTCTTCCCCTGGGGCGTCCATCTAAGAGCTATCCTGGTGATATTGGATACAGGCATCCTGTGAACATGCCCCAGCCATCTTTCAGAATACATGAGGACTTAGTCATTTCAAGGAGATGTTCATTTGAAATACGGTTTGGCCAGAAGATTTTGCAGATTTGCCTCAGACAATTGTGGAAACTTGAGAGCGATCTCATATCTGTTTTCGTTACTCTCCAGCATTCACTTCCATACAGAAGGACAGATTTAACAGTACTGTTATATAGCCTTATCTTTGTTTTCCTGTTGTATTGTTTGGACTTCCAAATGGGTCGTAGTCTTTGAAATGCAGATCTTGCCTTGGCTAGCCTACTTTTAATATCTTTTTGTGTTGGATCTTCTGTACTAACCACAGTTCCTAGATAAGTAAATTTATCTACCTGTTGGATTTCTGTGCCCTCAGCTTTTAGTCATAAGTTTGATGTTATGTTAAGTCGCATTTCTTGAGTCTTTTTTGCGTTCATTTCAAGTCCAATTTGGCTTGCAAAATGGCTGAGCCGATTTGTCTTTTCCTGCATATTGTCTTGGTTTGATGAAAGGAGTGCTATATCATCAGCAAAGTCAAGGTCCTCTAGGGTTGTAAACATTGACCATTTGATGCCTCTTTTTTTGTCACTGGTGGTCTTCCGCATCACCCAGTCAATGGCAACCAGGAATAAGATGGGTGAGATGATGCAGCCCTGTCGTACTCCAGATTTTACTTCAAACCAGTCAGTTTCCTTGTTGTTAAGTATCACAGCACATTCAAAGTTGGTATAAAAGCATTTTATCAGTGTTACGATCTTGTGTGGTACTCCATATG